TTGGATTGCTCCATATTAAACTCGGCCTTGTGTCACATCCTACCTCATGAGGAGGCTGGTAAATATAGTCGAATAGATTGAATGCTGGGTCAACCGACACACACTCACTACTCGTGTAATACTTTTCTGTTGTACTTACTGTTTAATATACGTTATATCTGTAACACTTGTTTTGTTATTTCTTTAACCATTTACTTGGTCACAACAAAAAGCTATTTAGTTGAAGGCATAAAGCTGCGTTCAAAAGTGTTGTGGTGTCCTTCCTCTAAAGAGTCTATAGTGGACTCTTCCGCCTACTATAAGATTAATAGGAGATAAGGCCTTGGGGGAAAAGTCGAATAGATTGAACGCTGGGTCAACCGACACACACTCACTAGTCACACTCTTCTGCTGTACTTACTGTTTAATATATGATATATCTGAAATACTTGTTTTGTTATTTCTTGAACCATTTACTTGGTCACAACAAAATGCTATTTAGTTGAAGACATATAGTTGTGTTCAAAATTTTTAAATTTCGGTATTAAATAACCCGCCGAACAAAATCAACAGATATAAACCGAATTAACTTTTTGACCAACCTAACAGTTGGAACAATCTTAAAGTGATATTCCGAAAATACAGAAGAAATGTCAATCCCAGAAAGATTTGAACTAAACCCGGGGAAAACCTGACTAAAATGGTTATGAATATTGAATGATTTCTTCATTCTGCCATCTGGCTTAAAGACAATGCCTCCAAAGGATCTTAACAATTTACTTGCAGGAGACATCAGATAACATATATTACAATATATGTATATATTAATTTTGTTTGATACGAACAGTCACTGAATGACGGTAAGTTGACTCCAGTCGCTCATATATTTCCTTACCGGGTGATGGGTCAATATCGAGCAGTTTGTCCCCTCTTTATAACGTCCATATTAACAGTCACTGAATGACAATCGGGTGACAACTCTAGCGCATGTCGCTCCTTACCAGACGAGGAGTGCGTTCCAGTCGACTTAACTTAACCCCTTTCGCGCCGTTAGATTTCATATTTCGATGGTTGAATGCCATGATATTTCTTGAGATTTATAGTGGAGCGTTATCCCGTCCCCTACTTCACGATAAAGCATCACTCCTATTAACCTGGCCGTTCACTCGTCAACATTTCTTCCGCCTATCACATACATTGTATGTATGTATATCTATCTATCTATCTATCTATCTATCTATCTATCTATCTATCTCTCTCTCTCTCTCTCTCTCTGTATATATATATATATATATAGAAAAAGTTTCAAATTAAAAATATATATATATATATGTAAGCAAATATATGGATATAGATCTGACAGTATGAAGAAAAATATACAGAAAAACAAAATCCGAATATGCAATTTACGCTGTTTCAATGTTAATTTAATGTCGACGCCGACGTGATCATATTCTGAAATGGAATGCTGATCTTAAAAAAATTCAGTTATTCTGTTTTGATTAGTCTTAGTCTTATGTCCATCGCCTTTTCATGTTGACTTGAATATCGTCTGATGTTAATTATTTTTTATAAATATTCCCTGAAGTTGACATTAAATTAACATTAAAACAGCATAAATTGCATATTTGGATTT